GGTTTAACCCCCTCGCTTCCCCGTAGTCCGGTCCTATGCCCGGGCCCACTCCGGCTGGTCCAACAGGGTTCGCTCCCGATCTGCTGGCCCAGCCGCCTTCAAGCAGCGGCCGTGGTCCTTGCCCACTATCTCTCGTTGGCTGCTGGAGAAATCCCCCGCCACCGCCGAGCGGCAGCGTGGGCTCTTCTCGTTGGCCTCTGGGGGCAGCAACCCAGCCACCCCTACTGGCTGCATCCGCCACGACGCTGCCAGGCTCCTTCTTCTTCACCGACTCCTCCACCAGGGCCGCCAATTGCGAAATCTGCCGTTGCAAACTTGCAAGCTCCGCGTCGCGGCCCTCCTGCACCGGCAGGCGGATCTGTTCTCCGCTCGCAGCAGCGCGCTCTTCGTCTCCAGCAGAGCTCATCCCGATGTGGCTTCCCTCGAGGGGCAAACTCTAGAGTGTTTGCGGCCTACGCCACTTATTTATCGGGTGAGACTGTTTTGGTGATGTATTAACTTCACGAGAGGTCGACGACCGTCCTTCACACGGACGAAAGAGGGAGTGCTCAAAGAGCGGCTCCCACAGCAAGGAGAGGCCCCGTGAATCATCGCGGTGCCCCCTACCAAACGGTAATCTTACCAGTCTGCGTGACATAAAATCATCCAGCACATGTATCCAACAGCAATGTTCGCAGACCCACGAACACAAGAATCAGATAGTTCCCGATCGAGACACTGCTTCTGGTGCGAGAAAGGGAGTTACTGCTCCTGAGAGGTATTCTAGCCCTCTCACACGCAGCGATGCACACTGACCTCTCTTTGTGCAATAGAACGACTGTACCGTGTGCGAGTAGCGAAGATGCTCGTACCCGCTGTAGTGGCAGGTGTAGTGTCGGAGCAAAGGCCTCCTTGTGGATGTTATGGTCTTATTCTTTTAGGGTAAGCTCCGGATGGTAGCTTGGTTGTGAGCAGAGGAGGGCGAGTCCAGACAGCTCTTGCAGAGGCTCCGCTGAATGCGGCCAACTACCTCTGTGGGGGTGTACTTGCGGAACAATGAATACCCCGAACCGTAACATCCCCCCTGGTATGCTATCGACTCATAATATACTAACGCCTCATGCGGTTCTATTAACCAGAGGAATGGTAGAACTGCGAGGTTCTCCATTAACCGATATGCGTCGAAAGGGAACTAACTATCCACACGTACGTTACTTCACGCCGCCATCTCGTCTCTCACTTTTCTCTGAGGGACAAACTTTCGACAAAACCCTCTCGTGAAGTCGTTGGCATGGTGGAGAGCGATCTCCATGCCAGTGGAATGGACCGACATACCGCCATCGGCGATAAGTGTTATCACAATCATGACAGCGATTGCGACCAAGCCCTACAGGACCTACCGAGTCCACGCATGCACGCTTACACACAATGGACGCACCAATCAAACATCGACTCGGTACCGCCTACCGAGTAGGAGCAAAGACATGGGCTGAAAAAAAATTAACCCCATCACCACGACTGAGCCTCAAGAAACCTCATCCCCCGATAGCACCGAATTCACCAGAGACACCCAGACTTCACCGTCCAAAAAAAAAAACAGAACACTGCTTCCCCCCACCATGACATCAACGATGCGAATAAGCATACCAAGGACAGGAAAACTGCTTCCCCCCACCATGACACCAACGACGCAAATAAGCACACGTAGGACGGGAAAACTGCTTCCCCCCACCATGACACGACGCAACAAATGAGTCCTGGGGTGCGACGAAGACGACCTCCAGTGAAGACAACGTTCTAGCTCCTGCCGCGCCATGTCTCCAGTTCTGGTTGCTGCCGCGCACCTGTCAGTAACGGTCTCGACAACTCCTGTCCCTGAAGCTTCAGCCTTCTGCTTTAGTCGTCGGAAGGTGAAATTTAAAGGGAGATACTCCGAGTTTCACGGGCGGACGACGGCACACGCGGTGGTGCGGTTAGTGTGCTGGGAAGATAATGCGTGGTGTGGCGAGTACGCTGGGAAGCTAGTTCGGGGTAGGGCAGATGTCATGGCGCCATGTAGGCATCCAATCGCCACTCTACACCACTTCGGGGGATAGCTTTACACTCCCACACCAAAGAGTCACAAGATGAATGCACTCGGCGACAATCTGGTGGAGAGGCGAAGATTGCCTGTTCGGTCCATTCTTTTGATATTGTCGATGCGAAACCACGCAACAAACGTTTAACGTCGTGACGGTTCTATGGCTTTCGGCACGAGGAATAAGTGGTCTTGATGGAGCAAGACGCAAATACTTGATATCTACAGCAAACTGGTCACTTATTAACACGCGAAATTTTCTTAGGTACTTCTCTTCGTGTGACTGTGGCTGTTGTTGCTAATCTCTCGCACCAGGGCTCAGCTGCTGTTCCCCGTCCATCGAAACTCATCAAACCTCCCCCACTCGGAAGGCAATAATCGCGGTGTCGGAGAAATGATATTACGCCGCTGCAGCTTCCCCCTTGCTGAAGACATCCAGAGGGTGTCGACAGCAATACATGGTAATCCCGCGACGTACTTCGAACGTAGGAGAAACTCCCGCCCATGCAATGGCGTGGAGTACCCGATACACTCACATCATCTACTGGAAAATAGCTGGACGAAAGCATGCTATTTCGCAGGATGGAAAACGGACTACGCGTGCCACATGATTGGAGACACACGCGCAGCGCGTGGGATGGTACTCGAGCAGAAAAGCGGTGAGCAGCGGGCAAGCGCATGGGTTGTGTCGGTACGCTGGTCACCCACAATGTGCGCGCTCATTGAATATTCGCAGCGACACAGACACAGCAGACACCAGAGGAAACGTGAGAGAGAAGGTGATAGTGCTAGAGTCAGCCGGTTGTGTCAGTAAGCTGGTCACACACAATGTGCGCGCTCATTGAATATTCGCAGCGACACAGACACAGCAGACACCAGAGGAAACGTGAGAGAGAAGGTGATAGTGCTAGAGTCAGCCGGTTGTGTCAGTAAGCTGGTCACACACAATGTGCGCGCTCATTGAATATTCGCAGCGACACAGACACAGCAGACACCAGAGGAAACGTGAGAGAGAAGGTGATAGTGCTAGAGTCAGCCGGTTGTGTCAGTAAGCTGGTCACACACAATGTGCGCGCTCATTGAATATTCGCAGCGACACAGACACAGCAGACACCAGAGGAAACGTGAGAGAGAAGGTGATAGTGCTAGAGTCAGCCGGTTGTGTCAGTAAGCTGGTCACACACAATGTGCGCGCTCATTGAATATTCGCAGCGACACAGACAAAGCAGACACCGGAAGAAAACGTGAGAGTGAAGTTGGTAGTGCTAGATATGTACGCGGTTGTGTCAACAAGCTGGTCACACACAATGTGCGCGCTCATTGAATTTTCGCAGCGACACAGGCACAGCAGACAACGGAAGAAGCGTGAGAGGGAAGTTGTTAGTGTTAAGAGTTGGTTGGTTGATCAAACTGAGCCTGCGCTCTTGAACATTCGTCGGTGTGTGAACCTTGTGCTTGCGAGCATGGGGTGGTTGCGAGGCGGCCGAATCGGAAGCGAGAGTGATGGAATAGTTCGTGGGGCATGAAGCGCGTGGGAAATTCGACCGGCATTTCAAACCGACCTCACGGTCTAGCAGCTGCCCCCGAGCGAGATCTATTTTGGATCTCCGTTGGCACGACAAGCGCTGCTAATGCGTACGGGGGCCGTGCCGGATAATCCCCTCGGTCTTCGATAGTGCCTGGGTGGTACGACATGCCCTTAGAAACCCGTGATCCTGGCCACGGCACCTCCCCCCTTGCGGAAAGCAGTAGTCCGCGGTCCCCGGGAAACTGTTCTGCGACGGTCACGCGAGATCCCCCCTTGCGGAAAGCAACCAAAAGCGGTTGTCTCTTTTGTTGTGATGCAATGCGTGTACACTCGGCGGTCGACGAAAATAAACAGGGGACACGGAACGGGCAGAGCTCACGGCAAAAACGCGTGAGCGTTGGGGTTGGTCGGTGAGGTGGTTGTTCGGCGATGTGTGCAAACAGAAACAGTGCGTGTGGTAATAACCCACAACGAAACAAAGGAAAGTGCGGAGCGGCAGCCTGAGCATGCACAGTGACGGGCAACGGACGATAACCGCAAATAGTAACGCGGGGTCTGGGTTAGGATTAGAACGTCCGTTAAAAGTGTGACGCAGGCCGCGACACCCCACCGGTAACGCACACGCGATTGGGAGCGCCAGGACCGGTGCGGATACGCGTGTGGCACTCAGGGTGTAATGTGCTTAGGGCGAGACATGTAAGGAGCACGAAAAGGAGTTGCTAGTTGCCGACGATGAAACACGAAAGACTGGCGGAGTCACGCTGTTAGCGGGACACCACCAGCGTGGAGCACGGGTGGCAAGAAAACAAAGAAAAGAACATCACGACGTGAGGCGTGCGTTTCCTCCCAAAGCGTCGAAAGGAACACACAACGTGCCCAGTGGCTCTGGCCAAAAGTCGCAAGAACGGCCGAATAGGGTTCGGGCCAACGAAGTAATCACGAATTAGTGACAATGGTAGTCTGACTCTTGTTGTTCATGTCATGTGTGGATTACATGGAGAATATTGGCCACCATGCATTTCGGGGTCGACATCAGAAGCTTTGGCTTGCAGCTCTCAACCTCATAACTCAGAACTCCCCTACTATCCACACTGTAACCTGAGCTGTACCCTTCTCTAGATCCTCCCGAACCTGACCCCAAAGGGTATCCTCCTGCTGGCGTCGAACGAGCAAATCCGGACCCTTCGGCACGCATAGCGCCCGGTGGCCCGCTCGCCGTGGACCCTGTGTCCACTGCCGCGTTTAGGGGTAACTCCCCCCGTGCTGAAAGCACCTCCCCCCCCGTCGGCGAACATGGCGCGCTCGGGGTGGACCGGCTTCGATCGAAAGTAGTAGCAGAATCACATCAGCGACGTTCGTACGCTCAGCAGCGCCCCGACCGAAGCAAGGCGCACCGGATTCACTACACACATCCGCGCACAACCGGCAGCGACGGCGTACAGATAAAACGCGCTCACAGCGAATAGATAAAGGGAGACAAACAAATAAGAATAAAAAAATGATAAATAGGGCCTCGAAGGACGCACTCACCAAGTGCATCGCAAAACCACAAAACAACGCGCGGCGGGGCGCACAGACCAGGCGCACAGCTAACCAACAGCCAAGAATATGGAGGGATAAAGGGAAACAAACGTAAAAAGGAGTTAAAAGATGAACAACCACGACCTGTGCGCGGCGTACGAGTTACGCCGTACGCACCCAAAGTACTTCAGAAACGCGTGAAGAGCGACAAAGAGCACAGAAGGAAAGTCAACATGCCGCGAATGTCGCAGAAACTGTAACCGCAGCTTGCAGCGAAAGGTACAACCGGGTCCGAGGGGAAGTCAACACAAAGCGACCGACGCACAACGCGCCACTTGGTCAGAGCCAAATACAGGAGGCAATCCAAGGAGCAAACGGAAGACAGCAGAGCGCCGAGCGGCGCAGAGAACAGCGGAAAGGAAGGTTGACACATCGTGATCGACGCACAAAACGCAGCCGGCTCAGGGCAACAGGGCTTGAAAAAGGTAGCACAGGAAGCAAAAGGTAGAACAGGTACGGGAGAGAGTGAGGACAAAAACGAAAGGTTATACTTGTCAATTTTGGCCTATGAGCGAGAGTAGTGTGGCGACAACATTCAGACGTATCGCATGTAAAGCAAAAACAACGGTGATATGTNTATACTTGTCAATTTTGGCCTATGAGCGAGAGTAGTGTGGCGACAACATTCAGACGTATCGCATGTAAAGCAAAAACAACGGTGATATGTTGCTACAAGACGCAGCTGACCAACGTCCAAAATTTTAAGCCTAAGAAACGGTTAGTGAAAATATGTGCAGAGCAGCAGGTGACAGCTTATTGCTCTCGTCCTGGTCGTGCAGCATTTGCAACGGTCGCCAACTGGAGGAAGAAGTGACGACGGACAAAGGACGAAGCCGGAGGGAATAACGCAAGGTCAGGGTATGCATCAGACGGTCGCAACAGCGGGACACGCGTACCGCAACCGGTCACCTACTGGGCTCACCTACAACAGATGAGACAGGTCAACGTAAAACAGAAAAGGTGGGGTACACCAATAAAAGTAAAAACGAAGAAAAAAAATAGAAACAAAAAAAGGAAAAAAGAAAAGAAAGGAGAGAAAAAAAATATATACTACCTCTGTCCGAGAATATAAGCAAGGTTTGGTCGTAAGGCAAAATACACCGCGAAAGCGAGCTGTTCAGTGGCCGTGAGTTCGATCCTGGGTTCAAACACCTTTTTTTTTCGGAAAAAC